AATGTTTGCACAAGATATCGCTGGAAATCGAACAGTGAAATAGAAGAAATCGGAGCCAACAATAAAAGCATCGGAGGCCGATCGGCGATACAGGTCCTTGTGTCCACATTAGCATCTCGAGGCAGGAGTGTGTGCAAACAGCGAGGGTCATCTGATGAAATGTTCAAAGGCTTTTAGTTCCCGAGAATTATTAAATGAAGCCAGGATCGTAATGTAAACACGGCGTGTTTGTCGAGGCAAGAACCTGTTGCTTTGTCGACGGTTTGATGCGTGCTTCGGCTTATTGGCGGTTATTTTACGTCCGCTAATGTTAATGTTACTGCGGCCGTAATGCCGCAACATTGTCACACCACTGAGACTATCCGTCTCTGGGATACGTGTGCGCTTTGTTTAATTTTATTCTCCCGTACAAAGGTAGCCATCCTTTGTGTGAACTTGATTCATGCAATTATTGTCCTGCAAATAAAATCTCGACGCGAAATAGTAATAAAAGTTCTGAACAAACACAACTAAGTAAGACGTGGAAGCAATTTGCTAAATACCACAACGCGGTCGGTTTTACAACTTATTGGTATAAACCATATTATACATACACATTCACAATCAACAATTCCCTAGAAATATTACGCAAATACAACGGCAGATTTCCCTTCGACAATGCATTGCACAAACGAATGTCGCAATGCGAGTGCAGATATATGTGGATATCTGAGTAAATACGTGTTCCAGTATGTGTTTAGGCAAATAGCAGGTAGGCTCCTGGGCGCTAACTCTGCTAATGTGTGGACAAAGCGTCTCGTGACGGGTCCTGCTAATAAATGTTCCAGGGAGCGCTGGTAAGGAACTTCAACATCGTTAGTTTGTTCGCGAGGGAGAGTGTGTCTAGAGTGAAAAATATAAATCTTTCAATTGCATCGGAATAATACCTAATCTTCTTCTTTCTAAATATTTGGAGGGATTGTTATGATAATGGCTGATACATATATTAAATATTTCAGTAGACCAAAGGTACTTCTTACTTGTAAATAAACCTTTTATTTGAGGCCGAATGGAATCACCAAATCAAATGAATGGAATTTTATGATTACAGTCGAAATCATACAAGCAGGTTAACATGTTTACATCTTTTTCAGGCCCCTTGATAAATCGATCAATACTCAAATGCCAATTGAGATGGTACAATAAAACCTGTTATATCATGTCTGGCACGGCTGTTACCTGCAAACATATCAACTGCACGGGTGCCGTCATTTGTCATATTACGATAAGATACTGTTTAGGTTTTTCCTTGTATATTTTTTGTTTGATTTTTTTTTCGAATAAGTATTACCTACATTGTTTTTGTACGGCGTAAAAGGAATATGAGTTAAATTTAGTCATATGCGGCCGGTTGCTTCTTATAAATGATTCTAAACACATCATTCCCGTAACAGTTAAAATCAAAGTTGCCTTCTTGATATTTTCACTGGGCAATTTCACACTGGCGGACGACGATATCTCCATCGGTATTGACAGCTTAATGCTTAATATTTTATTACCGCTCGTATTTGCTTTGTATACTAAACAAGCTGAGCGTAAACGACATCTTTCATTACAAGTTTCTATTTGATTTCGCCTCATAAAATACTCTCGCACCGCCACTATTATGATTTCTATCACAAATGTTACTTTGTGCAAAAAATGCTTCAGAATTTGTTTTATCTAGCTAAGAGTAAATTTAACTTCCGATTTTATTACTTACTTAAATGATTAAGGTCTACTATTTTGGATGCGCTGTAGCTACCAAGTTTTGGCTGTCAAATAAAGAAGTTTTCATTGAAAAGTGTTTTTAACTACATAACTAGTTTTGTAAAAACAACTCTCATTAATGTTGAAAAAGGCCTATTTTGTCTTTCTTTCTTCGGCTTATGCAAAGGCGTTAACGAATGGTTTGTCGTTATGCTTACCTATATTGGGGTGAAGTCGGGGATTCTTCTAAGAATGCATCAATTTCAATCCTTGTTTGTCCAAAAAATAAGCGCGCCCGCGGCGTGCCGGTTGCATGAGGCGTAGCGTAGAAGTTTGCTCACACTTTTGCTTTCGATGTCGTGTTCAAACATTAGGAACTATCAAAACAAGCCAGTTATTGGGTCTTTTAGCGAGATATATTTCGTTTTGTATCAATAAAAAAGTTAGGATGTTAGTTGTGTATGTGGTTGTCTGCGGGTATGTATTAGAAAACATTCCATAAACGTCGTGGTCGTGTAGAGGCGCAGTGGAATCCGGTCGCTGCTATTGACACATCCAATAGCGGAGTACCTTTTCATCGGCCCACTAAACGTCTTACAGTTAATATTTTATTATAAAATCACGCGACACATCTCCGCCTGTGAACTCGTTGCGATTCTGTTTATTCTGACATTAACATCGGTTGTGTTAACGCTATCCTAAATTATCAGTACACGTCGCTGTTGATTTATCAAATTCGTCACACGTCTATAATAATAATAGCGTTTTAGCAGCTTTTTGCCACGCTTTTATCATTAATGCTGTGCAGGAAAGAAGGGTAAATGAACTTAAAATAATGATGACGTGGTCAATTCACCAATAGTGTTTATGTGAAAATTGCTGCAGCTGAATTGAATTAAAAAAGGAATAAAAAAGACAATGTGTTGGAATCCAGTAGCAGTCTGAGCCGATGAGAAAGTAGGTAGTGTGGCGAATGAATCGGTAATGTCATACACGGGCCGATGTCATGAGGGTTCCGAAAGTGACGATTTTATCATATTATGTACTCGTATTTAAATAAATATTTTTGAAATTCCATTAACACATTTGTAAAAAACATGTATTTTAAGTTGTAGTTGTTACAAAGTATGTCGATAAGTTCAATAAATGTTAAGTATAGTGTTTGAATGAACAGCGTTACTTAGTCTCAGGCGAAACGATGGACGAAACAATTTAAAATTGATTGCACCGCTTTGTATCATAATTTAAACTTTACAACAAATAAATTCCTTAATTACTAATTTAATTGAATAATCATAAAACAAAGATATCTATTTTCATTTTTGTTGTATCATTATTACATTTTAATCAAAGTATCCAAATACAATGGATGGTGGATGGATTTCACTTAAATAAAGTAATTCTCGCCTGATGGTACATACATGGTATAGGTATAATATAAACAGCAAACTATAATCTCATAATAGAAATGCTTGTGGTACCCTAAACTAAAGCAATCGCGGAGGGTTGCGTGTCGCTCGACGCGAGCGTTTATCCGAACGAAACATTTCACCGATAATAACTCCACACAATATAATAATGCGAATAATAAATAAAAATGGAAATAAAATAATAATTTTAATGTCGTAATTGAGGGCTGGAGGCTGGTCGGCGCAAAACGCGCTCGTTTCGACCAACGATTTGATTGCCGCCTGCCTGCTTGCCTGCTCCCCGCTATATTGATTCCAATGAAAGTTTAAGAACCGATCTTTCAACCGGTTTTGAACAATGACTCTCTTGTATTACGATTAATTTAGCGATAGATCTCAAACGTCTGGCCGAGCCAACTAGTTGATTAGAAGTTTGGAATCTTAAAATGTCAAAAGTTTTTTTTACATAACTTCAATACATAATTTCAGACTGTAGTTCTTTTTGGCAGTCTAGCAGATCATATAAGATACGATAGGAAAGTATTTTTAGTTTTCATCATTTTGTAGTCGAGCGAAGGAAAGCGTTTATTAAATTAAAATTAAGCTGCAATGTTTGACTATTAGATTCTAAAATAATTTGGTTTTAGTAACCAAACACTCAAATATGTATAGAATGCTATCTGAGAAAAGTCAACAACTTTTTATTATCTCTGCAGCTTACAATTGCACATTGCATTGACAAACCACATGCATTCTCCGTGACACTTGCTGATTGACTTTTGCTTAATGCACAAACAATAAAAAACGGAATGCCTGCTTTCCGTTACTCAAATGTAGTCCTGAGGACATATATTTGTGGCAGCATATGTGAATGGAGTGCTTCAAAATAACTTACCATAATTTCATCAAAGTGTTCATTATCATTATGTTATAATTGAATTCCTCGGGCGGTTTATTGGTTTCGAGAATATTGTGAAACCACAGAGCAAATTACGTTCAATAAATTGTAATACATTGAAAATAAACAATTGTTGATTATAAGCGAATCTATAGTTGAACAACATTCTCAGGAACTAATCAAGACTGGATTACATTGTACGCTATTGAGTTATTAATCAGTAACAGATCTCGACCCGCTTATAGAGTATTCATAGCTGAAGGTTATATGTTGTTTTACGACTTTCCCAGAAAATTGTTATAATAAATAAATATATATATATATGTGTGTGTGTGTATTTTTAAGTAGCTACTTACAAAGATGACACGTAATTGCTTTGTTTTCGATTGAGAAAATATGCAGGTGCGAAAATAGTAAGATAGAAAAAGTATTTCAGAAACGCTACAACACTCGAATATCAGAAAAGCTTCAAAACAATTTAAACTTAATAAAAACGATTTAAAATTATTTCTTATGTTTTGATGTATGTACACGCAAGAGTTCTTGTTTTATTCGATAATCAATATTGCAAACTTTTGGAGATTTAATCTGCTTCAGGCGAATGATACGACGTTTCAGACAACTTTTGGGACTTTCCAGGCCCACTATCACGTTAAAATCATTAGCTGCATTCAGGGACGTGAATCAGCCACTTTGAGAATCGTTAAATGTTAACCTACATTTTTACACGATATTGTCGTCATATCGTATTGCTTAATCAAAGAACAGCGAAAAAATTAATGAAATTAATAATTTTACTGGATTTGGAGAGTGAGGATATAATCTGTTACTGCAGTCTAGGAACGCTCGCAATACTTGAAAATATCTCTTTTAAATCTTCGTTATAGATCCTATCCTGTACTTCCTAGGAAAAAACATAAAGTTATGTATATGTATTGAGATACTTATTATTGATTTCTTTTCAGTCCGCGCGGTCAGAAGGGGAGTCTTCAGGGGAGCAATCTTGCGAGAGCTCAGACGAGGGGGTGGGTCGGGACGCGCCCGCTCCCCTCCAGCACCCGCCCAACCAGCCGCACCCACATCAACCCCATCAGCCTCACCAGTCGCCCCAACTACACCAGCATAATATGAACCATCACCCGGTTGTGACGCACCCATCACTCGGCAACCACCAACTCAATCACCATCCGAGGAATTCGCCTAGACCGCATGAAAGGGAACTCAAAGTGAGTGTTTTTTTTATAATATAATATGACAACACACAACAGCACAACATGAAGCACCACCCAGTTGTGGCGAATCAATCACCATCAAAGGAATTCACCTAGACCGTATTAGAGAGAGCTCAAAGTGAGTGGTTTATATGATGACAGTATAATAAATAGAGTCGACTCTCACTAGTCACTCGACAATCACCAGCTGAATCACCATCAGTGGAACTCGCCTAGACGGCATGAGAGGCAGCTCAAAGTGAGTGCTTTATGTGTCGATAATAAGTTTGTTTGTTACCCAATCACGTAAAAACTATTGAACGGATATGGATGGAAAAAAATTCGGAATCGCACAGGAAGCGATTCCAAAATAAACAAAGTTAACGCGGACGAAGTCGTGAGAGGCCGCTAGTATAATATACAAAGTGAAATGGTACTATCATCATAGAGCAACGTCCGTGTTGTTCTATGCTGAGCAAGTACAACTATTTAACCCTCCACCGACGGAAAGGACCTTAACAGTCGTTTGTTCATATACAGGAACTGATATTGATTTATTGTCCCTTGCAGTAAGTTTCATAATAAAAATAAAGTGATAAATAAATAAGAATAAAAAATCTGAATTAAACTATAATATTGTTTAATATAAAAACATAAAGACTAACATACAAGTTTTCATGTAGGCCTTCCGTGAGTACATTTCGTTTTGTAGATACATTATAGATCAACGTGATTCCGTTGGAAGCTAGAGCTGACTAAAGTAAAATTCTTGCTGTACTTTTCTTAAATTGTAAATTAACATGAGTTCTATCCATAGGTTCGTGATGACTTCGAGTCCCTGAAATCGTCACTCCACCCGCACCTCTCTTCGCTGGCGTCGTTGGCCCAAGGCGCGCCCCTTTCGACGCCAAGCAGCGTGTTCGCGTTGGCCGGTGCGGGGCCAACGGGAGGGTTTCCGTACGCCCCGCCGGCCTTTCTGGCCCCAGCGCCGCCACCACCGGCTCAACCTGCTGGGTCAGCGTCGTCATCATCGTCAGAGGGCAGCGCGGCGGGATGGAGCTTCGAAGAACAGTACAAGCAGGTCCGTCAGGTAAGTCGTACTCTTTGGTTTTGATAAATAAGTATTTTATTCTGTAAATTTACGAAGGAAGTTTTAACTTTCACCCAGTTGAAAATGTATTTGAGCACAGAAATATAAGTCGACATGGGATTATTTTGTTTATACTCTAGCAGTTAGCAATCAAAAGCTAAGTCAGATTGTGTAGACTCACTGCTACTATCTTTTTAGGGTTCCGTAGTCAAATAGCAAAAAACGGAACCCTTATGGATTCGTCATGTCCGTCCGTCTGTCCGTCCGTAAGTCACAACCACTTTTTTCCGAAACTATAAGAACTACACTGTTGAAACTTGGTAAGTAGATGTATTCTGTGAACCGCATTAAGATTTTCACACAAAAATAGAAAAAGACGCTTTTTTATGTTATGATTATGACACGAGAAATAAAGTTAAAAAGGCAAACAATACATTGGTACTTTGATAGGTTTTTTATTCTTGTCTTGTCTTAAATACTTGTGTTTCTGATACTTAGCTTTTTATTTCAAGAAACTAATTGTCTACTAAATGGAAGCACTAATTAGTGCACACAAGCACGAAAAAAGTCGCACTAATATTCCCAGAACTTGGGTGCGCGAGCAAATGGTAAATATCAACCTATGAGTACTTACAAAGTTAGCATGATACGTCAAGTCAAAATAAACACTAAATATTACACGCATAAGATCACAATCGCAACAAATAGAATCGCGAACCCTCTCAACCCCTCAATAAATAAATTATTCATGGCTACTAACACGCCTTACCAATAAAAATGTTGCTATAATCTTCATAATATAATAGTGCGCAACCCGTTTTCCCTTTGTTACATATTTCATTGGTCTGTCGGTTCACAGGGGTCTCGGCGGCCCCAATAATATGATAAATAATAATTTTCTGTCAACCGTGCCATTTGAGGGTTGACAACAGATTGTCGATGGATTATTTATATTGTTGTTGGATGGTAATGAGTGGCTAGTTATGATTTTGTAGCGTGTGCTATGCACCTGGTGATTCACAGTGCAGTCAATGCGGGCACGGATATGAATGATTAGGGTACGATTGAGGTAATGTCATTTAATGCAATTTGATGCAAATATCGCCTTTGTCACTGAGTATTAAAGGCGCTTTCGATGTCGATTTGTATCTTTCGCCGTGTCGTCTCCTGTAGCTATTTACTTATGTAATTAGATAAAGGTTATACAGAATGCGCTTAATGGTCTTTTTTATCATGTCACAGTGATAAACTTTTCAAATGACGTTCCCGAATACCTGATTCATTGGAAATAACGAAGAAAGTTGTTGTGATTTTGCTATAAGTATAACTCTCTTACCCGTATCTAATAGAAAAGATAGGAAATGAATTTAATAATTCATAATCCAAGTCGTAAAGTCTGTAAAAGTAAGGCAACTTTAATATAAGATTTGTTACTTTAATACCTTCCTATATATTCTATTTCTTTTTCTTCCTTATTCAAAAACTTTTTGACTACGTTTTCCAACAGTAAAAAATTAACATAATTATTATGGTTGTAATATGGTCGGCACATATTGAATAAGCGTTATCACAGAATTTTTTGGTGTTCGGTCGCTTGTTAAGTCACCATAATATCGTGTGCAACACCTGGAGTTTTCACCTTAACGATGTGAGGAAAGTGTTTACGGCTTAACATACTCTTAAGAATAAAAGGCTTATCTGAAACTGAATGCTTGCAATTCTCACAGTCACGATTGCGGTTCCAAAAAGTCTTTTTGAAAAGAAAAAACGGAATGCCTCGTTAACAACATTCTTTTTCTTATTAGATAATACCTTAAATTTAAGTTTCCTTTACGTTATTGTATAAGTGAAGACTATAGTTTTTGTTCTCAGGCATGTCTCAGACAAATTATCTAACTTATGGTAAAATTAAAATTGTATGAACATCCGTTCAGAATTTCAGTTGTTTTTATTAACATTGTGTACTTAGGGCAGACACACGAGTGATAGTGGGTCTGGTGTTGTAATATTTAGTGATGATTATTAAGATTTAAATAAGCAGATTATCAATAGTAAAAACCTATTTGCAGTGTTTCTGAGCTATAAGAGCTATAATAAAGTAAGATGTCTTAATTGTGGCTCTTAAGTTATTGTACTGCTTATAGGTAAAACATGTTGATCACAAAATATATCGCTTTAATCTCATGCTTAAGTGACTACGATTTGCGTGTAAACGATAATCATGTGATTGCTTATTCCCTTTGAGGCCGCTGAATTGGAAATAACTTAACCTGGTACCTTGTCTACTTGATTATACATAAATGTAATATGATGAAACATTTAAATATTTAAGTACATTACATTTTATTCTGAATTATTACTTATACTCACAAAGTTTGCTTTACCAAAGTTATATTCCAAATATTATTTCCAAAACTCATACCAATTAGCTTAGCCCTAAAGTAAGCACTATAAGGCTTGTATTATGGGATACTAGGGTAACGGATATAATACATACACTGTACATATATAAGTATATTTATAAAGAAATACATATTAAACATCCATACGAGTACAAATGCTCGTATTCATCACACAAAAATTTGCCCCCACCGGGATTCGAACCCGGGAATTATCGAGACGGCATGAAACCCGGCGTACTAACCACTCGGTCACGGAAATCGTCAAGTTATAATTAAAGAAAACAAAAAGGTTACAAAACAAATTTAAAAGAGCTTAATATTCAAAAAAGAACAGTGCTAAGACAGACAATGTAGCCGAAAGGATATTTACATGAAATTAAAAAGCAAAAAGCAGAAGCGAGCATTAAAAAGACAATAGTAGTTACAATTACGTAGGTACGTCGAATCGATCGAATACTTTGCATACAAATTGTTACCTATTGTCTAACTATTATTAACATTGCGATACCTTCAATTTGCGCGTTTACAGTTCTTTTGAAAGAATTTATTCACCATAAGGTGTGCATCAGGAGCGTTTTGTGGTCTGTAGTGAAGGTACATGTTAATTACCGACAGACTTGAGTTGAGCAACAATTCAGCTCTCTAGGAAAAAAGGGCTCGCCAAAATTTTCAGTAATCATGATTTCCTAATTACTAATGGGCATTCAGACGGAGTAAAAATGTTATATTTAGGGCTCATACTTAAATATGCTGAAATCTAAGATCCGATTATGTAAAAGAAACAGTGTGGATTGCATGAAGGATTAACACTATATTTTTTCTGATTCCTATTCATGTCTGAATAAGCATCGGATTTCGACAGGTCTTACAATGGGTAATAATGCAATGAAAAGCCCATATTCACAGACATTTTAAGTAAAAAAATATATTTACTAACCTAACTTTTCGCCAATACTTTAAAAAGCCGATATATCTAATAGAAACGTCGTTCATGTAATAATAAATAGTAGAAAATATTCGTATTCACATGAAAATACGTAACATTATAAAATGTTATTTCAAGTCAAATCCACGATAAGGGCGGGATTCGTCGCGGCGCGCGCGCCGTTTGATCGTCCGCGAATTACACGCGTTCCGTTTATGCTTCTATTGTTCTATTTATATGCATTGCGATGTTAATTTTATCGTAGTTAATAATGTTTGTAGACTTCCTTTGTGCGGGAGAGGAATAAGCGCATCATACAGCGTCTAGGTCGTAAAGATTATTTGGAAATGCATTAAAGCTTTTGCCATATAGACGGGCGCGGCGGCTAGTCTTGAATCGGGTTTGAAACCAACCTTTTTTTTTATATTGTACTAGCTATCCCAGCGAAATTCGTACCGTCATAAAAAAAGGGGTTGGTGGTAGAAGGGTGAAAATTTAGGGTTGTATGTATTTTTGTATGATCTATCATAAAAAAATAATACCAAAAATTTTGTCCAAAATAAAAAAAAAAAATGGGTGGACCACCCTCAACATTAGAAAAATAAATGTCCGATTCTCAGATTCTCAGACCTACTGAATATGCATTATGCATATAAAATTTCACGAATATCGGTCGAGCCGTTTCGAGGTAGTTCAATTACGCACACCGTGACACGAGAATTTTATAAATGTATTACATTTCTACTCATTGTATGATGTCCTTTTAATCTAATCACACAAAAAGGCTAAGGCGAATCAGAACCAACAAAAGGGTTGTTGTACATTCGTTACCAAATAAATTTGTCACGAAAAAAGTACTTAAGTGTAAATTCGCCACAGTTCTATTTTTATAAAGTTAATTGCATGTGACGAATTAACTTTCAATGTATGGAGAAAACAAAAATGTGGCGAATGTACAACAACCCAAACGAAAGGCGAGCCAAAGCCTGCGAGTTCAATAACATAATGAACGGAATGATAAAGTTGTAGTGACAAATGGAAGGAAATGAAAGTATAAAATGAATTCAGGGGATTTCTATTTAACAGCGACTGATTTGGCACGTTAATAGTTTTTCACAGAGGATAAGACTGATAGGCAAAGAATGTTACTGCGATTTATGGGTAAAGTGCAACACTTTTTTAAATTGACATATTTAATTTTTTGACGTGACAACGTCTTAAATTAGGTTGCGGCTGGGAGTCACTTATGAAAAAGTGTAACGCTCGGTAACGTTACGATGAGTCTCTCGTGTTAAGTTTAAGTTTACATGTACAATGTTTTAGTAAACAAAATATATTTCTATAGTTAAAATTTGTGCAATTCTTATTTTCATTCAATTCCTTGTTCCTATTGTGCAATTTAATTATATTCATATCAATAAATATTCTACCGAGAAAAAGACGTTGTCACGTAAAATCTTCGCCCGTAAAACCGACTTTACAGGCAACCATTTTTTTTTACGCTTATTCATTGATCATCTTGTTCTTAATTTTCATAATTCCTTGAGATTCTTATGTTTTATAAGGTTCTAAATACAAAAGTGTCACAAGATCTTCGTCCAGATAAGTCGAATAATTAGACGTGTACTTTTCTGATAATTACTTGTTGCAACAAGGAGATTTATATCTGTGTG